CACGTCCGTTACCGTCCGTCCCCCCCCTCCCCCTCCCCCCCCCTCCCCCCCTACCCCCCCCCCCCCCCACCACACACACCCGTCTCCCTCCCCCCTCCCCCCCCCATGCCCGGCCAACAGTACCCCTCGGCAGCCACATCCATCCTTCCGCACTCGGCCGTAGACAGAGACGCCCATGCCTCGCTCCTCCGTTCCTACAGGACTGCGTCGGGTCAGCCTGCGGCTACGGCGGCTCCTGCTCCTGCTCCTGCCTCGGGCTCCGGCTATCCGTACCATCACGCACATTCTCATCATCGTACTCGTTCTGCCGTATCTCTGCCGTCATCGGCATCGATCCTGTCGGGGAGTGGACCGGCTGTGTCCGCAGGCGCAGGCGTACCGACTGAGCGCAGACGGGCAGAGTGGTACGAGGCACCCCGGACTCGGCGTCTGTTCGCCCAAGAGGCTGACTCGGTTGGTGCGCTGATGCTGGACAACGGGACGGACGGAGGGCAGGTGCATGGCCGGAGGATGATCCGTGGCGAACCGGTTCATTTGCGACAGACTGTGGGCGATGCTCGTCCACCGACGCCTGAGACTGTGGTTGGCAAGCGGATCTCACCGCTCAAGACCAACCCCAACCCGCATGGCTTCAACATCATCTCCAACATTGCCAACAACGCCCACAGGTTTGAGCCCAAGCCGCACACCCTCACCTCGCGCCGGCTTGCCAATCACTCGCTCTACACACATGATATTATTTCGCAGTCGCCGCGCAAGGCGCCTGATGCAGTCGACCCGCGGGTCCGCACCGGCGCCGTTGCCGACCCGGCCGACGCCTCCCACGCCGCCTCGCTCCGCGCCGCCCACACCCGTCGCGCTGTCCGCCCGGCCGACCACGACGTGCTCGGCGCTTCAACCGATGCACCGCCGCCGCAACACCCCCCCTCACCGCACACCCGCCGTCTCGCGTCTGCCCGCCTCCTGGACCACGGCTACAACATCGTGACCGGCCGCGACGCCAACGATGATGTGGTCCGCCCGGACCCGGTCCGCGCGCCCGGCCCGCGCCCAGCGCTAAAGGACCACCTTCGCCACGCTGCCAACCTCGACGACGCCGCCCCGCAAGTCGCCATCTCGCGCCGCGGCATTCCGGACGTCCGCCGCAACACGCTCGACCACATGTGGCGGCTGATGGCCAACGATGACCCGGCCAAGCACCCGACTGCCGCGCCCGACCTGCCGCATCCGCCTGCACCGCCGCCGGCCGAGCGTTACCAGCCTGCCCCCGTCCGTGCACTCCGCCGCGCTATGCACGCCCCGGACCCGCAGCCGGCACCGGCGCCGCACATCCCGTCCCGGCCGCCGTACGCACCATCGGGAGCGGCACCGGCACCGCCGCGCCACAGAGTCTACCGCGACGATGACCACGTCGGCGATCTCCTCCGCCAGTCGGCCTCGCCGCGGGCGGTCCGCGCTGCCGCAGTTGCAGCTGTGGCCACGCCACGAAGCGAGGTTCGCGCCGATGTGCCGCAGCTGTCGTGGCGCGAGCAGCTGCGCAACATCCAGGCCAGGACCGGGACGCTTGCTCCGGGAGCTGCGGCGGTGCCGTACACTCCACGCAATGAGAGCGCGCACCGCACCGCGCTCGCCCGCCAGTGGGCGTAGCTCGCTGCGCTCACGCTGAGTACAGCGCCTTGGACCGCGCTGCCGACGATGCACGCAGGAGCAGAATCGACGCGATCGATGCCGCCGCAGAGAAAATGAAAATGACATCAAACCACCGGTGGTAGAACGAGAACTCAATTGAGCCGAGCACCTTGGTGATGATGACCCGGTACTGGAGCGGGAGGTTCATCCGCATCAGCAGCACCGACGAGACAAAGTAGGAGCCCATGATGTGCGCAAGGCCGAGGACAATGACGTTCGATGAAAAGGCAGACGCAATGGAGTAAAAGATCTTCATGAGCGCGTTGAGGAACCCGCGAATCGAGGCCACAATCATGACGCCCACCATGACAAAAGTGACCAGACTCTTCCAGTGCGCCGCCATTGGAATGCCAAAGTACCTCAGCAGGATGTCAAAGCCGCGCGAGACCGGATCTGTGTGCGCGACGCGGTCAAAGATGATGTTGGCCGCACACATGGTGATCTTGTACACGCAGTAGACGGAGAGAAAGTAGCCTGCAAGGTTAAAAGCCCGTCCACGGAGCGTCCGCGAGAACCGCACCCGCGCTTGCTCGGCGCGCAGCTCGTCGAGCTCGAGAAAGAGCTGCTGTGCCACCTTGTTGAGCGCCTCGACCTCGATTTCCAACTCGCGGAGTTTGGCCGCCCGCTCGTCACTGCCGCCCCACAACGACGCCGCCGCCGACCAGAGTGACGACGCCAGCGAGGCCGACGCCCGCTCTGCCGCCGCCCGCTCTGCCGCCGCCGCCGCACGCCGTGACCGCAGCGACGACAGTCGCGCAAAGTGTGACTCGCTCTGCTCATGCCGGAGCAGCAGCATCTTCTTCTTCTTGGCCAGCAGGTAGTCGATGGTGGTCAGCAGCCGGCCTTCGTGCCGCCGGACCGTTGCCGGCGAGACCGACCGCACAAAGTACTCTAGATACCGATACGGACAATCGACCGCACCAAAGCCCGAGAGCACGGCCATGACCGTCACCCCTAGAACACCGATCCGGCCCACGCCCTGCTCCATCGAGAACATGCCCGAGGCCTCGGTGGTGATGGGAAACGGATCGCCGACCTTCCAAAACACCACCAGATAGGCCGAGAGCATGACACCGGCGGAAGTGGCGGATGATGCGCGGGCGTAACCCTTGTCGCGAGCAAGGATGTAGAACATGTAGAACGGGAGGACAAATACAAGCAGGACCAACATGGCCGTCAGATTGGTCTTCCAGTGCCACCACCGGGTCAACGGATCGAGGACGTCAGCGACCTCAAAGATGACCAGCTGGAGCATCGACGCCGAGAGAGTGAACATGACCGAGAAGGCAACCTGGACACCGACCTGCTTCACCTCGTAGTCCCGAAAGAGCTTCCACAGAAAGAAGAGCCACGCAAAGCTGAAGAATGCCACGTGCGAGCCACCGATGATGGCTGCTTCGCCCAGGGCGCCCATGGCGGCGTGTGGTGGCGGTGAAGGTGGGGACACTGGTATGGGTGAGCGGGGGAGGGGTTGCGCGGGCACCTCAGTGGTGTTCCTGGCGGTGGTGGCGGTGGTGGTGTGTGTGTGTGGGGAGGGGGGGAGGGTGGAGGGGAGGGTGGAGTGTCTGTGCCTGCGGCTCGGTTACGTGGCGTTCGGCAGGCGCGGCGGCGGCACGAACACAGCGACAGGATCACGGCACTGTGTTTGATGGCATGGGCGAGAGAGAGAGAGAGAGAGAGAGAGAGAGAGAGAGAGAGAGAGAGAGAGAGAGAGAGAGAGGGAGAGTGCATGTGAGAGTGTGTGCTGTGTGTATGCGTGTATGCGTGCGTATGGGTGAGGGCTCATGTCGAAGATCACAGATCACAGATCACAGCTTGAGCTTGCCCGGGAGCTTGGAGGCTGGCATGGCGTCGACGGCAGAGAGTGCTGTCTCCCAGTGGGCGACCATGGCGCGGTGATGGTCGAGTTCGCGAGTGATGTACGCCTTGAGTGCAGCCTTAAAGTCGAGGAGCTGCGAGCTGAGAAAGTGTGTGACTTCGGCCATGGCGACCGAGGTCATGGCCATGACGACCTGCTCCTGCGATTTGAGGCGGGTGACCTCGACAGGCGTGTTGACGATCTTCTTGGAGGCGCGGGCGGCGGCGGCGAGGTACTTTGTCCGCTGCTTCTGTTCGGCGCGAAGGACCGAGTCTGTGAGCTTGGTCACGGTCGAATGCCACTCAAAGAGACGAACGAGCAAGTCCTGGGTCTTGGCGTGGCGGGTGAGCTCGATGGCCATGCCGGACATGGCGTCGCCGATGGCCTCAATGCCTGCGCGGAAGGCCGGCGGCTGCGAGCCCATGGTCTCAGCCAGGACGCGGAAGCACTGGCCGGACTCAATGTAGAGCTGGGCGACGTTTCGGGCCTGGGCGCCAAGAGCGATGATGGTAGACTCGGCCTTGCCCATGGCGGGTACCGTCGCCTTTGCACGGGCCATGAACGAGTCGATAAAGTTGGGCACGTCAGTGCCGGTCACCGGCGCCGATGGTACGATGGTGCGGTAGAACATGGGCCCAGTGATGGGATCCTTCTCGAACCGCCGCTTGCCGGCCTTCCATGTCCGCTTGTCGGCCTGGGCCGAGACGGAGAGAAAGTGCTGGACAACGTCGGTGGCGCGGAGGACCGGATGGCGGACAACATTCTCGATGAACGAGGCGATAGCGGCGGTCTTGTCCTCGCGCGGCGCAAACTTGCCCACAAGCTCCTTGACAGGGATGACTGGGACTGGGATGAGAGGGAACTTGTTGACGAGCTGGACCCGGAGCCATTGGCAGTGCTTCAACCGCCGCTCGACCGACCACGACTGGGACGCGGTAGTGATGGTGTACGCCTTGTACGACTTCATACCGGCAAACTTCTTTCGCTTATCGGGCGACGAGACGTCGACGTCAAAGTACGGCAGCGCGTCTTGCCACTCCCATGATGACGAAATGTATAGCGCGAGCGCCGGGTCAACGTCGGTGTTGAGATACGAGTCAAAGTCTGCGTCCGAGTAGTCAGGCTCGGGCTGGTAGTAGCCAGCCTCACCATTGCCGTCATCGTCGTACATGGTGTCGAGCTCGCCGAGATTGGAGGATAGCTGGGCCAAGTTCTCGCCCGACTGCGAGGTCTTGAGCGGTGGTGGCGGCGGGATGATGGCCAGGCCAGCAGCAGAGGAGGTACTCCCAATGCCAGGAGTGTATTCGACGTAAGCCTCGGGAAAGAAGCCACGGGTACCATTGAGTTCGCCCTCCATCCATCCGTCGTCGCCAGCCTCCTCATATACGGCGATGACAGCGTTCTTGCCAAACGACAGCTCTCCGTCCGAGACGCCATTGTATTCGTACAAGGTGTTGGCATAGCCAAGGATTGGGTCGGCCATGGTTGATTTGCAGCAAACGGTGCCTTTGCCGCCCGGTCTGGTCCTTCCAATGCTCAGCTGACACACAAGCGCAACGGCAAGCACGAACAGCACAGAGTCTCTGTTGTTGCACAACTCCGTTGCTCTCTTTCCGTGACTTGCGGTGTGCCTTGCTCTACCCTCTGGTGGCCTCGTCCCAATCAAGCTGTGTGTAGGCCCGTTGGAAGTCGCTCACGTCCCACCGCCTGTCGCCACCCACCCGTTCGGTAAAAGCCTCGCATGTGCAGTGTTTTTTTTTTTGTGGGGAGGGTGGGGGGGGGGGGGGGGAGGGGGAGGCAGCACACACACACACACACACACCATATGGGCTGCATCGAGCAGTGCAGTGTCATGGATCCAGTGCCAGGACTACAGGCAGTGCCAAGACATCATCGATCTTTGGGCCTGTCGCTTGCAACACCCATCCTCCCTCCTCCGCTCCGCTCCACTCCCTCTCCCTCCACTGCTCGCATCTGCTACGCCCCGGCTCGCTCCATCCGCTCGCATCTGGTCGTACTGGCGGGCTCGACTCACTCGACGGTCGAGACTAGCTCGGCCCAGGCAGTGACGAGCGAGCGATGGTGGGCGAGCCAGGCGTCCAGCGGCCTGTCGTCTACAGTGCGCCACGGGACAGCGTGCTGCGCCGGGTGGTCGGCCCAGTCGGCGAGGATGGCGTGGGTGTCGGCGGCATTAGCAGCGGCAGCGCGGGTGGTGGCGGTGGCGGCGGAAAGCGTGGCGGCGAGCTCGACGTCGCCTGTTGCGGTCTGATCCGCGAGGCGGCGGGCGAGCGAGCGGACGTGCGGGAGCGAGGCAAGTGCGGCAAAGGGAGCGCCATCAAGGTGCTCGGTCTGCAGTGCCAGGGCGCGCTCAGCACGCTGCGCCTGGGCGGCCTTGGCCTCAAGCAGGGCACTGATGTGCGCCGGGAGAAGCGACCAGCGCTGGCTGCTCGGGTCAAAGCCGGCAGCGGCAGCAAGGTCGCGAAGAGGAGCAGGCGCGAGCGCGCCCGGGTCGACGCCGGCACGGCGTCCGGCGAGCGTTAGCGTCTCTAGCAGCTGGGCGTGTTCCGCGAGGGCGTCGAGCGTTTTGAGGCGGAGCGCAGTGAGCGAGGACGAGGCGAGGGCGAGCCTGCGAGGCATCGGCGCGAGGTCTGTGTTGACCGCAGCCCGAAGGCGGGCATGGCTCGCCCGAAGCTGGTCGGCGGTGCGGGTGTTGGCGGCAACTCCTGCAGCGAGCGCAACCTTACCTCGCGCGTACGCCTCCTGCATCTCGCCGATGGCAGCAGCCTTGGCACGCAGCTCGTTGTTGGAACCAACCTCGTTGGCGAGGACGGCCTCGAACGAGGCGACGAGCTTGTCGAGCGCGTCGGCGCGGGCGACAAGACCAGCGGCGGCTGCTGCGGCCACCAGAGCTGGCGGCGCAGCGGCTGTTAGTGCGTCGGCCTCGGCCCGGAGCGCGGCAGCATCGTCGGCGACAGCCACCGTTTGGACAAAGCGGCGGACGTGCGAGTCGCGGAGCTCGGCAAGAACGGCAGCCACCGAGTCAGTGGCTGACACTGGCGGCTCGAGAAGCGGCTCGAGCGGCCCGCGCTCGTTTTCGGCCTTCATGCGGGAAGTCTCGGTCGCCGCCAGCTCGGTCAAGCCGTCCAGCAGCTCGGCGGGCGGCAGGGAGCGGGTCTCAGCCGGATCGAGAGATCCGGAACGGGCTGTGGCAACCAGCCGTGCGACAGCCCCGGCCCCTGCATCACGCCCGCCGGCCGCAAGCATGCGGCGCAGGCTACTTCCGGCTGCGTCGTAGACCTCGCGCATGGCAGCCGTCTCGTCGTCGAGCACGTCGAGATGTGCGTTGTGAGCGGCCATGAGGGCGGCGGCGGCCGAGGCTCGGGCGTAGCGAGCGGTCGCTGCGGCCTCGGCAGCGGCGGCCTCTGAAAGCTCGTCATCGATGGACGCCGCCTCTGCCCGCAGCATCCGCAGCTGTGCCGCATGCTGGCCCTCACCCGCTCCGCTTCCCTCGCCACCTTCTCCCGCCCGTCTCCCGTGTCCGGACGGAGACGGAGCCTGCGGCAGCGGCGCCGGCGCGCACTTTACCAGGTGTGCCACCAGCTTGCGCAGGACTTCGGGCGCGTCAGGCCTTGCCAGCGCCTCCAGCGGTGGCACTGGGGCCTCATGGCGCTCACACCACTCCTGGAGCTGTGCCGCCAGCATTGCCTGTGGTCGGAGAGGCGTGTCGCCATGGCGGGCGCGATCATGATCGCCAACCGCGATCGATCATGATCGCCAACCGCGATCGATCGCCCGGTCGAGCCCAGCGCTTCGGCGCCCCCCCCCTCCCTCTCCGGACACACCTTCCCCCGTCCTCACCCCTCCTCCTCCTCCTGCTCGTCACCACCCACCCACCACCTTCTACCCCTCAGCAATGGGCTCGGACGACGAGGTGGCAGCGGTGAGCAGCCTGAGGGCGCAGCTGTCGCAGGTGGCGAGGGCCAAGGACGAAGCCTCGCGGGCGCTGTTGGCGGTGCTGGCGGACGACCAGACGGCACGAGATGGCGACGGACCGGCGGCGCGGGCGCTGCATGCGGAGGACTCTGCACTGCGTGAGGACGAGGCTGAGCTGATGGCGGCGTTGGACGATGTGCAGCAGCGACTGGGCCTGTTTGACCGCATTCCGCGACTCTCGGACGAGGCTGCGGCGAAGCGTGCGTCGCTGGCGGCCGATGAGGCGCGGCTGCTGGAGCAGCTGGGTGCGGTGCAGAGCCGGCGGGCGGCAGTCCGCGAGGCGCTGCTGGAGTTGGACGGGGCGGCGGCGCGACGGCGGACCGAGATTGCTCGTTTGAAGGACGCCAAGGTGGCGGCCGAGGGCAAGCTGCGAAGTCTGCACGCGCAGCTGGCGTCGGCCGAGGCCGTCCTCCGGGATCCGGGTCCGGGCGATGCGCCGCAGGGGGCCGGGCGCGGTGATGCGCCTAACTCGCGGGCAGAGCTGGTCCTCCGGTCAGAGCTGGCGCGAGTGACTGCGGAGAAGGACGAGCTGTTGCGCGAGTATGACTCGCTGCGGTCGATTTACGAGCGGGACATCAAGGCGCTCTCTACCGAGCGACTGGAGCTTGTGACGCGGATCGACGGGCTGGAGGCGCAGAGCCTGCGGCTCTCGCAAGAACTCAATGCTGCGATGGTCGAGGCCGACGATCTGCGCTCTCAGCTGGCAGCCGAGCGGCGCGCCAAGGACGACATTGCGGTCCAGCTGCAGGTTGTGCGCGAGCTCCGCGGTGACGAGTCGCACATTGCCGCCATTGCCTCGTCGCTGACAGACGAGGTCATGGCGCTGCGCGCGACCAACGACTCGCTGGAGACTGCGCTTCGGTCATCGCGGGTGGCGCTTGAGCGCGAGCAACGCATGTCTGCCATGGCGCAGACGATGCCGCTCCCGGACGCGGCGCCCTCGGCCAAGCGTCTCCAGCAGGAGGTCGCTGCACTGCAGGAGATGGTCGATGCGTACAAGGCTTCCGAGGCCGAGGCCACCACCCGAATTTCTGCTCTCGAGAGCGATCTGGACGATGCGCGGCGGCGGCTTGCGTACGAGCTTGAGCATACAGGCGACGATGGCGAGGCGGAGGCGGAAGAGGCCAGTGAGGCCGATGCTGTGACCGAGGCCGAGGCAAGGGCGGCAGCAGCTGAGGCACGGGCAGCCGATGCTGTGTCAGCTATGGCCGAGGCCGAGGCGCGCGCGGAAGCGGCCGAGGCCGCGACTGCAGCGCTCAAAGACCGGCAGGCGGAGGCGGCGCGCCGGCATGCAGACGCTACTTCTCAGCTGGAGGCCAAGTTCCAAAAGGCGACTGCAGCCGCGGTGGCTAATCTCACGGACCGCGTTGCGCAGCTGGAGAGCGAGGTCGACAGCTTGCAGAGTGCAAACGCGTCGTTGCGGCGCGAGCTTGCTTCGGAGCAGGAGCGGGAACTCGAGTCGACAGTAGCGGCCGACGTCGTGGTTGAGGTACGCGAGCAGGTGGCCTACACTTCTGAGGTCATTGCGTCACTCGAGGAGCGGCTGCACCGCGCGTTGGCGAGCCAGGCTGCGGTGGAGGAGCAGCTGGTGACGAGCAGCGAGTGCGACAAACACCTGACGGTTGCCGAGCTTCAAGACGAGATCGATGAGCTCAACGCCGAGGTCGCCGAGCAGGACTATCTGGTGCGGCTGGTGGCCAAGGCAGTCGGAACCGCCGAGCTTAGTGGTTTGCTTGGCGGCGAAGACGCGCCAGTCATGGCCAAGGTCGAGACCTTGGCCCAGCTCCTGGCCGGTGTGGTCGCCTCACCACCGCCGCTGCCGTCGCACCACATATGAGGGGGGAGGTTGAGTCATGCGTGCGCGCGCGCGTTGGCAGCGTCGACGAGCGAGAAGCAGTGCTTGCCCGCAGGAGGACTGGGAGCCGCCGACGGTGTGACGCAGACTGTCAGTTCGATAAAGGTGAGAATGCCAGCGTCGTCGATGGCGCGGGCGTCAACGGTGGCCACGGGCGTTGCGCCGCCGGGCGCGGTCCCGGGCACGCCGGCGACATCAAAGGTCACCGCTGTCGTCCGCCCGGAGCTCTTTCCCCACATCCACCAACCGAGCTTGGCCGCCGCCGCCAGCTCGTTAGCAGTAGCAGCGCCAAGAGCCTCGCCGGCCTCTTCCGAGTCGAGTACCGCAGCAGCAGCGGCGCGGGTAGCGGGCGCGGCACGCAGCGTCCGCTGGCCAGTCAGCACCGCCTGAACACCAAAGAAGCCGGCCCATCCGACAACTAGCAGCGGAAGCATCGTCCGCCAGCCCGCAATCTGTGAGAGGAACGGCGCATCCGAGTCAAAGAGCGGGCCCTGGCCACGCGGGCCTCCCCCACCTCGGCCGCCGCCCTTGGCATGCCCAGGCCCCCGTGCGCCGGTAAACAAGCCACGGCCCTTGCTTGCTGCATCCTCTCCGCCGAGCCTCCTTCCCCAATGTGAGACCAACCGGGCACCAAGCCGTAACATGCTCTGTGTTTGCAACGCGGGTGAGGTGAGTTCGTCGCACGCGACATTGACTCAACAGAGCCAAGACACCGACGCCACCCCCATCTGCCCGTCTGCCCAACGCAGGCCAGTGACATGGATGGCTCTGATCCCACCCCCAGAGTATGCGGCTTGCCAACGCCTGAACCTTGAGAACTCCCCCCAAACCCTCGATCCCATACCCCGCGACCTCCCTCCCTCCCCTCCCCCTCCCCCCCCTCCCCCTTCGATCCCCATCTCCTCC